ATAAAGAGTCATCATTGAACTCAATTTTACCGCATTCATTGTAGTGACCTACTCAATGACAAAATACACTCAATAGTCAACACCTACTGTACAGTAGAGTGGTTACCCACTGTTCGCTTTTTATATTTTAAAATTTCACTATGTATAAGTAATTACAATATTATGTACCTAATAGCAAAACGTTTCAATAATATTTTTCGATTATCTACTACATAATAACTAGAGATTGAATTTATATGCACAAAAATCCTCAAAATATGATTCTAAAAATGTTATAATATGCTTAAAAATATACATTGATTGTTAAATATGCATTAAAAATTGAATCGAAAATATTTTATTTAAAACTATGTAAAAAATAAGTAGTTATTAGTTAATTAGGTAAGTATTAAAAAGGTTTTTAAAGTATAAAAAGGTATTTTGTTATCTTTACTATTTAACATTCTTTATCTTTAGCCTATAAAATAAAAACAAAAATTGATCTATATATTAATATAATATATTATGTTGCAAAGGAGTACGTCATATTATTTTTGGAAATAATGACAGGTCGTAAATTTTATCGATAATATATGGCTGTAAACGTGAAAATACGACGAAAAACAAATATACCTATGTGCTTTAAATAATAAATATTCACTATAAAACTAGAAATATGCATTTAATAAGTAAAACCGTTGAAATATACAAAATATGCAAAATACAATTAGTATTATTTTAATAAGAATCATATAAATTGAGGGCAATTCTCACCAGATTTCAAAAAGCTTATTTCAATACATATAAATCCGGTCTCTAATAATAACTAAAAGCGCAAATGGAAAATTTATTTTCTTAGAAAACTCATTTTTATTTTATTTATAGTTAAGAAATTACCTACATTTAAAATATATGGTATTTGATTAGTTTTATACAATGAGGAAAGAACAACATAAAAAAAAATCCGTCTCATTGTATTTAGATTAACGCTATTTACACGATAACTCATAAATCTGTATTATGGTGTTCTATTTTTTTTCATTTACGTCATAAATATTTATGTTTTGAGTCAGCAGCGGTAGCGATAATGACACAGGTCATACGCTCTGTGAACAACATTGACAAGACGAGTGTATTGATGAATAACCGCTAGAGGGCGTTAATAAAGCCAGTTACAAGAAAAATGTTCTTTATTTCTAGTAGACATAAGTTATTTAATAAATTATATATCATGTCTCCTAGTTCGCAATAAATGCTTACCGGGAAGATAATTCATATCCAGATTTAACTATAAACGATTGGAATCCAATAATTCATAAGGTCTACAGTATTTGGATACTTACTGGACCAAAATAATATTCAACAATAGATTTTTTAATCGAGTTTTTAGTGTTTACTATGATAGCTCAACTATACAATGTAATTTTTAAGAGTAAACGTCAATCACTTCATTGATCCATTTTAACATTATATAAATACACACAAAATAAATAATAATTAAAATACAGTATAGTTATTGTATTGATAAGTGTTTAAGTATGACCAAGTACGTGCTACGGTTGTCCTTAAACAAAATTCACCCTGAATTATTTGTTTTTATTATTTTTAAGCGGCTGCTAATATAAGTGTATCTATTTCCCTCTTATTCTTCAATCATGTTTTTATTTTAATCTTACTAATTAAATACGTAACAAGCTATTTCATAATGATATTAATAGATTATAAAATTTCAACCACAAATCTAATAGATATAATTTTTAATGAATTTTATTTTTTAATTTTATTATCACTACCTATTTATTTTCCCCTCGCTCTCTCGTTCTCTCAGTATACTTTTAATTCACAGAATATGGACATACATACTTCAACTAAGCGATTGAAGTTTTAATTTTAACAACAAAATTAGACAATTAAACAAAAAATAATGATTTAGCCTCTATCAATTTTAATTGTTTTTATTCAAATAAAAAAATATTGACAGTAGATATGTACAATTTTCGTTATTACGCGCTATATTATTTTCTTTGCACAGTAAAAAATTTTAAATAATTCAAATAATTTTAATCCGTTTATAATATAAATATATTATATAATACGTAAATTAATTATTTATCTAATATGTTTATTACCTCAGTCATGCAGAATTCTTTGGTATTTGTGGTATTATCTTCTAAATTAAAAATAGTAATAATATATAGATATAATTAATCTAAATTTAAAATATTTAGATACCACTTGGATTATATTAGAACTAATAAAAAGTTATGAGGTATATATTATATATTAATTAAAATACTGCTCTCTTTTAACCAATTTATTTTTTATCTATCTAGTGCGTTATCTTTGCCCATTGTTATTTACATAATTTCACTTAAATACTATCATCGTTTATACGTGTTATTTATCTTCAATTTTCTGCAACACTGTTTGAATCCCGACCAAGCTATAACATTATGTTCACTGGTAGTTTAATTGGCATCCTAAAGAATCTAGAACTAGAAATGTGACTAAAAAACAAGAGCAAAGTTTGATTTAATGTAAATCACTTTGCAATTTTAAAACACTCAATTTTGGGTAACTAAAAAACAGTATTGGTATGTTAACAAAAAAAATCAACTACCAAAATGTTTAAAAAAAACAACTTTGTGTAATGAACTAGTTTCTTTGACAAAAAAAATTACTCATTTAAAACCAAAGTTCCCCCCTTCCCTCATAAGTTATATACAAATAACTCTCTAAGGCATTCGCCAATGCTATTTTTATCAGGATACAGGCTAGTCATGTTTAGGTTAAATACTATACTTTTCAGAATCAGCTTTAATTTGTCAAATAGGCAGCAGTGAATTAAAAATATTTTACCTTCATCCGATGTTCTTATCTTAATTTTATTCTTTGGAAAATATTTCACCATTAACATATTACTTCATGCAAAAATACTAGTATTCACTAATGCACTTATACAATTACTGGAAGATTTAGATTGATTGGTGTTAATCCAAGTTGAGAGCTAACTGAGACTGAATGCATCAAATTATCTTTACAGAAAAATATAATGCTCCTTTTGAAATCGATAGAAAATAAATCAGTATTTATATTTGCACTCAAAGTATGTAGAATAAAATGAAAGAAGGTACAAACAAAGATTATTTTCCAAAATGCAGTAGTTTTTGACTTTTGATGAAATTGAAATCTATCAAGATACAAAATCCAATTTTGAACATTACTTATTTTATTTTATTATCTAGTTTTAGAAATATCTTGAAAATTAAAACATTAATAAATTTGCTTTGGTTCAAAATCCATTCAATTCATTACACCATCAAAGTTAATTTTTACCTAAGAAGAAAGTCCTACTGAATTGTCTTCTAACTATAGTTTGTAAACTAAATTCACCAGAATGGAATAGACTAGTTATTTTTTATTTAGGGAACACTGAATTTTTCGGTGGATTAAATTGAAATAAATCGAATTTTTTTACAAACTAGTGGTATATTAATACACATTTATAGATAAATTCCAGAATTTTTATCAATTGGTATGCGTATGTGCAATAAAAATGAACACCATATTCGGATAGGCCAAATTTTTTTAAAGTAATTTTGATGTATTAATTATGGTTCTAAATTGACTGAATAAAAGCCATTTCCGTTTTAATAAATAAGTACATTTTTACGATTCATTTAAGTGTATAAAATCTTTATAATTATTTATTATTGGTTAATTTTTGAATGTTTTAACGTACTTTTTTTATTTATTTTTTTTTATTTGTGTTTCACAAATCAATTAATACATTTTAACAATTAAACCAAAATATATATAATTATTATAAAATAAATATTTACATAAAAATATTAGATAATGGTGAAATAACATACTAACGAGTAATTGTTGAGGAATTTCAGTTTCTACAAACTATTAAGGTTTTCGAAAAATAAGAGATTGAGAATCACAGATATCAACTTAAAACAGAAAAAAAGTAGATATAAGTGCTATAAGTGAATTACATCCTGAAACCGATATTTGAGACATAAAAAACTAATTATACAAATTATAACAAAGTAGGAAATGTACAGATGTACATAATATAAACAAAATTCATATAAAAATGTAAAAGAATATTGACTAACAACAAGGGTTGTGATTAGAATACTGTGCGGCTACTAATATTTTCCATGAATTTTGAACCACAGTCAAACGACAAAGTCATTTATGATCTTAAAAATGTATTTTATTTTATTACTCCGACTTTTAGAGACTTTTTCTATTTTCAAAAGGAGTTTCAAAATTATACTTTTACGCTCTGAGATTATCTTTTATAGAAGAGTTCACAATCCCAATTTTCTCACCCCGACTTTCATAATTAACTGTATTACATTTTAGATAAAAACTGGCTAGTTCCTATTTATTATTATACAATGTTAACCTAGTCTGATTAACATATTCACTGACAACAATTTTTAGTAATCATAGAAAACAAATGGATTGCATTTTTTGTAAAAATAATTAAATTAGTATACACATAACAAAGTCTGACAGTGGTGGCGAATTTGTTGCTATATTATAACAATATTGTACGAACTTTAAAGTGATGCTTTAAATCATGAAAAGTAATCCACAGTGATAAAACTGTTTACCTATTGAAATCATCCCTAATCGTATTTGGATACGGTTAAAAGAAAGTTCTATAGCGAACTACAATAATATACTACGTCACAACGTTGGACGTTTTATTGTGTATTGATCAGTCCATTTTCACTACACCTTCTCACCCAGAATCTCACCCTATCCGCCACCCTCACTGTATCCCCTCTCAACTTCGGGACGCTGCAATGGTAGCGCCACATACGACGATCAATTTTTCGTACGCTGTTTATGCTCTTACGTTAACCAATGAAACTATTCAATAGATATATTTTTACTGTACGCCAGAGAGCATCTATCTCTTGCATTCTTAAGGTTTTCAGCAATAGCACCAGTCACGATCAAATTAAATCTAAGCGTTCCAGAAGTAAACAGTAAATATGAACTCGCCACCAACATTTGAATCATTTTTATTGTTTGACGGGGAAAAAAAGTGAGTTTACTAGAATTATTTATTTACATAGCCATTTGGTATCGGATAATAATATTCATTTTTATTTTAGAATTGTCAGAGAATTGGATACAAAAGTTGTGAATGCAGAAATATTCACTATAAACAAAGAAGATCACACATTGGGAAACATGATCAGAAAGTAAGTGATACGACTGACATTAATCATTCACCATTATTAATGAATTTATGAGTTAATAGTGATATACAACGATATCGAAATACGATATCGATATGACTAAACTATCGAATATTTTATCGATAGCGACGTCGAAAATCAATACCAATTCGTTGCAATTTGAAATTTCTTTTTCCTATTTATATAAGTTTTGACAGTGAATCTATGTCAAAGAATGATTAAACACTAACGATAAGCAATACGATAAGGCCCCCACAATAAACGTTAGGTATATAGCTTTGGCAGTTGGATTTTGGCTTTTAAATAGATAGTAATGGTATGCAGTATTAAATAAGAAATAAGTTAATTGTCGCGATTGTATGTCTGTTATTGCAAACAGTGTAAAACTACTTATTTAAAATCACATTTGCAAACCTATGGTAGATGAAAAGTAAATAATGTCCCTGTAATTTTAATTCAATATTTAATTATTGTTTATAATAATAAAATATAAATTTTTTTTTTAATATAAGGAATATCAATTCCAAAAAAAAAAAAGAAAAAAAAATAACGGTCAATACATTTTATAATTAGTATTGTATTCAGTATTGTTTTTACTTTTTCAGTTTTATAAATTATATCGATATATCGTTTTTCAATATCGCGATATGCTATCGATATATCGTTTTTCAATATCGCGATACGCTATTGATAATATATTGTTTTTCAATATCGCGATATGCTATCGATATATATTGTTTTTCAATATCGCGATATGCTATCGATATAAATGAACCGATATCGATAACTGAAAATATATCGTTGCACATCACTATGGGTTAATAATAATATATTTTTATTTTATTGATTAGCCAACTGCTTAAAGACCCTAATGTACTATTTGCCGGGTATAAACAACCACATCCTTTGGAACATAAATTTGAAATTCGTGTACAAACAAAAAGCTCTGAGTATACACCTCGAGATGCTTTAACCAACTCTTTAGCTGATCTTTTGGCTGAACTTTCGCTGCTTGAAGAACGTTTCAAGGTAATAACTGTTGATATAATTTTGTTATTAATATACTATGAATATATATTGAATTTAAGCACTTAACTTCTTTTTTCTAGTTTATATCAAAAATTAAATATTAAAATAATCATTTTTGTAGATACCGTACATGATAATCAGTTTTATGTTTGATTTAACTTATTTATTAAACTTGAAACATTCATGATTGTATTATCGGTGTGAATAGATTGGGTCTAGCATTTTTTGGGTGATGAGTAAAGACAAAAAAATATAATTAGGTTTTAATCAACGATCATCAATAGTATTCTGAACTAAGTGCACTAAAATTGTAATAAAATATACACCATTTAAAATACCAAATAATGTTCTAAATCTAAAATATGCAATTTATTTCTTGGATTAATTATTACTAAAAAAATGTATGATAAAATTAAATTTAAAGTTTTATTATTATAAAAAGTATATTTATTTTTGTTATTAATCAAGAAAACGCTGCCTTCGTATACATCATCTAAATCTTATTAACATACAACATAGCAAATATGTGATAAGTAAAGTCAATTGTGTATTGTTAGCTAAAATATTAATATTAGCCTTTTTTCAATATTTTGATTTTTCAGTTATCTAGTTTAAATTTATAAGCATTTTTAATTTGTAATATTTACAATACTCATATATTGCTTAAAAATTAAAATATCGAAATAAGCTAATGCTTAAGTACGTATAATGTTCTTACTTTCAATTTTGATGATAGGTCAATTTTCTCCGATATCAAAGCTAATAAGAAGAACACAATTGGCTTTACTGAACGCAAATTTGCTACTTATGTAATAATTACTCGATGCTTGTAAAACGATGACAAATGCGGGTACTGCATTCTCTTAATAGATCCCAGATAACATATTAATTTAAAATATTTAAAATTATTCAATTATAATTTAAAAAAATACTTTAAAGTAAGCATCTAAAATGATAAGGTATTGAATTAAAATTAAAATATGCACTTATATTTTCGACAATTGCTAAAGATGCTTTTTCTGTAAAATACGAAATAGGTATGTTACAAAATCCATAATTATTTTACCATTTCACAAAATAAAATTATATTTTATCATTAATATTTTATAACTAAACCTTATATGAATATGCATAATATTAAATTCACAAATTCTAATTATATATATAATATATATATATATATATTATTGTTATTATATGTTTTAATTACGTGTATTTAAATTTTTTAAATTTTTTTGTTTTGTTTTAGGATGCTATAAGACAGAAAAAATATGAAAGTTCCGATTAAAGATCAATATTGATGTTTATAATTTCTAACAAAAACATTTGTACCTAGTAGGTAGTACTTACTTATTAAATTATCAATTGCTGATAAAAACTGTGTGTCTTTTAGTTTTTTATCCGTTTTCCAATTTCTACTACAGGTATTGGATCTACTTGAACATATTATCGGCATATAGTAAATTTTTAGTAATTTAAAATAAATCAATAAATGGTTTAACATTCCTACTCAAAATTTTATTTCATACACTAGTTAGCTAGAATAGTGTTAAGTTAGATTGGGGTACATTAGATAATTATTTTCCATCAAAAAATGCAATCACCTGCAGTTTGCTAGGAGTATGTCCATTTAATATTGCTTCTTTTGTTATTTCAGAAATTTGAAATTTCAAGCTAAGTTAACTTAACAGTTTCTACGCGATACGTCAACACTTGTAGAGTTGAAAATATTCAATTAATAATTATTAAATAGTTAACGTACCAAGACTACCGAATTTTGTAATCTATGTAAATAATAAACATGTAGAATGGCATGGCATGGTAGAGTACTGACAGTACTGTAGTGTAAATTCAGCAAAAGCTATGAAATAACTATAGAGTAATAATAGCATATTTCTGCAAAAAAATAAAAACGTGAAAATCACCAGGTTTGAACTTCCTTCCAATCGACCACATACCACCAATACATAAACACTATACATGTTCATTACACCCATGTTAAATATTGTATTTTTACAATAACTAGAAAAAAAAAAATGGTATTCCTTTAATCGGTGAGTTCAAGGTAAATTTCTACCTTCAAACCCCTCTCTCTTACAACCTATATAAAAAAAAAAAAATAATCAATATTATTTATATATTTTGAAGGAATATGTGTTGTATAATTGTACTATATAAAATAAAAACTATTGATAGATTTATTTAAATTATTTTTACGTAAGTTTTGAATTTAACAAAGATATTTGTTATTTATTAAGTTGCAATAATTGATGAAAATAAAGAACCTCTTTTTATAAATGAAGAATTGGATCACCTAATTAATCTTAAAATAAAATATAAATATTATCAAAAACCGATAAGTATAAAAAAAGTATTGCTGGAAATAACTTTAGAATAACTAAACAATGAATTCAAAAGTTTAAGATTGTATTTTATCAGTGCTAGGGAAATTAGTTTTTTTGGTAACTAAATAATATTTGTTACAATATACCTTTTAAATTTGTAATTCAATTATTCTCAAATTACATTTTATTATTTGATTAAGTTATGTACTTTTGATTAAAAAAAAAGGAACTTTAATTCAATTAAAATTATTTTTTATTTTCAAAAATATCACTAGAGCTTAATAATTGTATTTTCAATACATTCAAAATTTGTTTAAGAATAACTATATACCTAATTATTTAATACATTTTATTCTTTGTTTTTTAATGTATTTTAAAAAACAATGCATTTTCAAAATAACTACTTATTAAATATAAAAAATTTTGTTAATAAAAATAGCTATTACATATGATATACTAATAAATCTATTACATTATCAATTATTTCTTAAATCTTATTAAAAAAATATAAATAGTAAACATCAATTCAATAATTGTATTTATTGCAAAAAAAATAGTTTAAATAACGTATAAATTATTTACAATAAAATATAATCATTTATCATCAAATTACTTCAAAACTAAGTTTATAACTGGTTAATAAGGTTAAGTTATTTTCCAACAGTGAATTTGAACGTAAGTAAAAACTATAATTAATTATTCTATCGATAAGACGTAGTACACTAGTAATAAAAATGAATAAATAATAAAAGTGTGTTCTAGTTTCTAGTCTATAAGTAATATTTAAATATATATACTAATAAAAAAGTGATATTGTAATTTTTTTCATTTATATTTTCGTACTCTTTCTTGATAACGTTTATTTCAATATTTTATAATATTCTTTATTCTATATTGATAGTTTTTACTGAGGAAATTCTACGATTTTCCCAAGAACGGTCTGAATTTCGGCGATAATCTCGATTGTCTGCAGCCGAGTGTTTTGGTTACAAATGTACAACACACATTTCCAAAATAAGTTCGTTTTTTGTGTAAAAAGAAATTAACGAGTACCTACTAATTAACCCTACCGGTCAGTCGTACGTACATATACGCAAACACATCATTGCGCGGCGATCGCATTATGATGACGTCTCACTCGTACTGTATGATACCAATAGACGGGGGACACAACATCGTGACCGCGGTCGGGACGACCGCTGCGGTTTCGGTAGTGGCACTTCCGCTGCAGTTATAATACTTCGTCCGGAACGACAGTGTCGGCGAGGCGACCGTCGTTTTATCGCTCAAAGGCCGCGAGGCCGGCGGTCGCCGACGGCCGCCGCCCTGCTTCGTCGTTCGGCCCGACGGCGTCGACGTTTCACGCTTGCGGTGCGGCGGTCGCGCCACGGCGGTGCGCGCCAAATCGCTTCTCGGCGTGGCGGCCAACAGCAGCCTGGCCACGGCTTTGCGGAAATCGCCCACCCGGCGCTCGGTGTCCCGAACCCTGCACAAGGCGTTCACGCGGTGCTCTTGGACGGCGCGCAAGCACGACGCGACCACGTCGTGAACGGCCGCGCCGCGACGCTGGCGAGCGCGGGCCGCCGTCGGCGGTCTCGACCCCGGTCAGCGTCCCCGCGGGCCCGGCGCGCCCGCCTTGTCCAATCGGGCGAAGCAGCTCGAGCAAAGCTCGCTCCAGACCGTCCCGCGATTTCGGTGACCGGCGACGAACCGTACCGCAGCGGAGCTCTCTTGCCGACCTTTCGTCGCGCAGTCGCCACAGCAGTCTGCGCAACGCGACCTTTCGCGACTACCTCGCCGTGGCCGCGTCCATCGAACGCCGTATCGGTCCCAAGTACTCTCGGCGGCCGCCACCGTGCGCTGCGGCTTGAGCAACACTTCGGCCTGCGGACGTCTTTCCTCCCCGCCGCCGCGCTGCTGCCCCGTCTCCGGCAGTGTTGCTCGTCCGCCCGCCTTGTCGTCGCCTGCACGCAGCTCCGCGATCCTCGCACACTGCTCCTGCGCTGACGCGGAGCTTGTCCACACCTGTGTACCGGTTCGGCGTCGTCCAGCACGTCCGACGACGGCCGTCGTCGCCAGACCGGCACTGCAGGCCGCCCGCCGACGTTTCCGCATGTATCCGAACATCAGCTGGTTGCAACGACCGGGACGTCCGGAGCGATTCGCGCGGTACTGCGTGCGAGGTCGCCATCGCGAAGAACCGCCGTCCTTTGGCGGCCCCGAGCCGGCGTCGCGCCCCCGTCCCGGCCGCCGGCGTCGGCGGCGGCGACGGCAGCCGCGGACTCGCGGCGTCAACACGTCCACCACGAAACCGCGGTACTGGCCGTGAAGCTGCTGCCACCTGGCGTCCAGCCGGTACGCGCGCACCGTGCTGGCCGTCCGCCGCGCGCTCAGCTCGTTCTCCGCGCGGTCGTGCGCCG